CTGTAGAATTGGGGATCAATTTTGACCACATCTGGCAGAAGACACTAACGGTGCTACACCCATTAAAGGTAGCGGATGGCAGCATCATGAATGAGACGGATTTGGCCGGACCAATGGTCTTCTGCCTAGCTTTTGGAGCCACGTTATTACTGGTAAGGTGTTGATTGCAGACTGTTACTGTTTGGGCAATAATGTTCTTGGAAGCACTGGGAAAGAAGCCAGGTTTCCTGTAGGTTTATTGGAGGTGACTTCTTGGCAAGGAGGCCAAAAAAGCACATCCTGACCTGGAATTTGTAGCTGTGTGGAAGAGGGGTTGGGCTGCACACACCACTGATCAAAATTAGTGAGTTCATTGTCACTTGACTTCAGTGGAGTTTGAATCCAAGTCTTTGTGCTTGGCTTTTGCAGGGCAACCGTTTCAATGTAATTCCTATTTCTTTTCATACTTCGCTTTTGAGGAATACATCTCCCTTTTGTCACAGGAATGGGTGGGACCCATGTTCTCAGATTGTTACCTGATTGAGGTGTTTTACTCTCAGAACCATGCCTGGTCTTTTTGCAACGTCTCTGCTATCTTCTGTCTTACCAGGATTTGGGACAATGGAGACATTAAATGTTTCAATATTTGTTTTACTTCTTCACTTAGGAGTTCCTTTTATTTTTAACTCTTACTATGTTTAATATTTGGATATGTTTCTCTGTTTTGTTTCACTGTATTTCTTTGTTCCATGCTTTTGTTCACTGCTCTTTACTGGCATAAAGAGGCAAGGAAACTCAAAATTCATGTGTAAAAAGTGACTCCTTAAGTACTGGTGTTAGGCATGATTTTGTGTCAAGAGTCAGTCTGGTAAAACGCTTATAAACTAAACCTGCTTTCAGATTGTTTATGCTTCTTAATAAGCCAGCAGCTGTTGAAGCCCGGTGGCTTTTTTAGTTGAGCTTAATTGAAATCAAATTGTGCTTTAATGACGCTTTTGAGTCAATTATGAAATGACAGAGTAGCAGAGTTTCCTTGTCATTGAAAGCTTCAGTGTTTTTAATCAGGTTTTTTTTTCTCCTAATGTCTTCAGGCACTGCTTTTAATTTCTGCCTAAAATTTCATATTGCTTTGACACTCAGGACACTGTTTTGGTACCAAGGGGACCTGAAGCCTACTTTTATAAGTGACCTTTATTTATGGAAACTAGGCCAGTAGAGTTAATGAACATGTTTATAATAGATACGTTTGAATTTTCTTTTCCTATGAAATTACCATTTTCTCCTGTGTGCTTTTTGTTGTGAAACACATCGATTGTAGTGAAAGAAAACAGGCTTGGCCTAGCAAAAAGATTAATTCAGGAATGATTGCTTTCTGTGGCGCTTGAGGGAGAGGAGAGCTTGTTTTGGGGACACTCAGTTTGAAAGTTAGGAGAGGGAGCCAGCCCTCAAAGTTAGTTGATTAAAACATAAAGAATTCCGCTGGGCTCTTGCAGCCCAGATCAAAGAATAGCAATTTGATCCACGTCTGCTCATCAAGACAGTTAAAGTTCGGACAGATGTGCCTCAGGTGCCCAGAATATGTGGGAATCCTGGAGTGCAGGTTGTGGGGAGATGCTGCTGGTTGAATTGGGGGTGGGAGAAGGGGAAGTGCAGATGCTCTGGAAGAATTCCTGCCCTCTCCCTCTGTGGGAGGCGTCGCTTGTTCTGGGGACTGACGTGCGTTGCTCTGCTTGACTTGCAGGCTGGTAAAATTCAGTTTGGTTACGTGTATGGGATAAGTGCAATCGGATGTTTAGGGATGTTTTGTCTCCTGAACTTGATGAGCATGACGGGCGTCTCCTTCGGCTGCGTCGCCAGCGTCCTTGGGTACTGTCTCCTGCCGATGATCCTGCTTTCCACTTTTGCAATTGTATTTTCGTTACAGTAAGTACATCGACTTGATAATTTGGTAACGGGATCCTCTCCTGTGAGATGGTGTAGGAAGTTATTGGAGGGAACTTTCATATTCAGTGGCGAAGCTGCATATGATCTGAATATGACAGGAATTTGTAGTAAGTGTAAAAACATAAATATCAACAGTCATCAGGTATTTATATACTACTGGAGAAAGGTAGGTGCATACTGGCTTCATTTATAAGTCAATTAGCAGCTTTTAATTACATAGACTCAACAAGATCGAGTTTGTTTTCAGTCAGCTTTGAGTCTGATGCATCTCGGTAGCTGAACAATCTAAAAGTAATTGAGATGCAAATTTGAATTTCACAAGCAGAAGCAGATCAGTGCGATTCCTTAAGTATATGAAACTGGGGACTGAAAAGAAAGAGCTTGCCACAGTTACTCTACTCACCATGGTTTTTTCTTGGCGTTGTTTTTTACCCTGTCATAACAGTAATGTTCTGAAGTCTTTACTGGAACTGTTTCATGCAAAATGTCAAAGATAAAGGCTAAAATTCATCTTAAATTCTGTAAAAGGTGTTGGAGGGTGTCTAATTGTGACTGCTGTAAGCATGCATACTTCATCCTACAAGTGTATATATGCATGTCTTATGGGAATCCTTTTTATTTCTGTCTTTACAGGGGAATGATGGGGATTATTCTCACGGCCGGAATCATTGGCTGGTGCAGCTTTTCTGCTTCCAAAATCTTTATTTCTGCCTTAGCCATGGAGGGACAGCAGCTTCTCGTAGCATACCCCTGTGCGTTACTGTACGGAGTCTTTGCTCTCATCTCTGTGTTTTGAGTGACTCTTGGACTCAGTGGGCCAAAATGAAGACATCGACTGGGAACATTCAGTTGGACCAGAAACAGCTGCAAACCTGTTCTGACTCATCTGGAACAATTAAAACCAACGTCTCGTATTCACTTTTTTAGGACTTTGAATACTGTTTTCAATTGACCTGAGGTGTCTATAGCTTTAATAAGTGTTCATGCTTATGCAGTTCCTGTAATTTCTTTCCCATTCCTGTATCTTTAGAGAAGTAACTTTTGGTTGGTTATTTAAGGGCTGAGGCTTTTTTGTTGGTTTGTTTTTAGGAGAGGGGGGATTGCAGTTACGAGCTGAGAGATTTTTGTCAGCAGAAGTACACAGAGCTGCAGATGCCGTCGGTTTGGGATGCTCTGGGTAAATCTGCAGTAACGAAGAACCAATTTCCTGTCCCTTTTGACCAAAAGCAAAATGCACAAATGGATACAAGCAGTTTGAGTATTTTCTATATTTTAGCAAATATACTTTTAAGCTCTTTGGTCTCATTTACTTGTTCATTTGATGTGGTAGTATTTCAGGATTTAAGATACTTAAATTACGGATTAGAAAACAGAAGCTTGAAAGTTAAAGGGATCTGTAATTCTGTCACACTTGAAATATGAATACATTTGGATGTCTAAGTAGCTGTATGGTCACTTGGGTTCCTGAAGGTGACTCCAACTAGAGTTTCTTTTCTTATGGTGCACATACTGGTAGATGAAGAGTGGTCTCTTTTGCAGTACTTCCAAGAAAAAACACCATTTTGAAAATGTTATGCTTGTCAGTATTGTAGTTACTGTAAAATAATTTAAGGCATATTGATTAAATTTTCCTGAAATTTTGAAAACGCGTTCGGATTTTTCTAATCTTTCTTTACTGATGGAGTTCAGTTGCTAAAATAGAAATTTAAATATGGAAGCAAAATCGTGTTTAAAAGCACTCGGTGAATTTGGTACTTGGCTCCAGTCACAAATGGTTAATGTTACATGAGCAGCATGATCTGCGTTGTGATGCTAGGCACAAGAGGCCTTACAAGTGTAAGAAGAGGGAAAGCAGAAATAAGGTTAAAATAAGCAAGGAAAGGGTACAGAGGTGTTTTAACTCGTACTGGGAGGGAGGTTACTGGTGTAGGTGGTAATTCCCTGCCTTGGAAATGCAGAAGCTCTTACAAAACAGTGGTTTCTGGTGACCATTTCTTCAGCAGTTTAACACGGGATTTAATTCTGTTGCATTTCCCGCAGGTGTTAGTGCGGTGTCCGTCTGTCGAGCCCAGGGAAGGATCTGTTCATGGACCTTGGGAGTTGAAGCACTGCTCAGATGCTGCCTTTACGCCCGCTGGTAAGACTGTGAGTGCCTCTGCAAAGGCAAACGTCCGCCCGGGGGGTACATGATGGAGTAATTTCAACAGCTCAGCACACTCTTTGTTCACTCTTCCCTCATTTCTGCATCTTCTCCTAAAACACTTCCCAGTGCTGCTGGGAGCTACTGACAAGGTGGTTCTCTTTGGCCAGAGCCAGCTCTGCTGGTGTCACTGGGAGCTGTGGGAGGTGTCACACGAGTGCAGAGCCCTTCAGAGCCAGATGCTGCTGTGTTCAGTGCTGTGACTGCCTGTTGCAGTGAGTTTGAAAACTGACACCCACATAAAAACTTCAGTCTCCTTCCGGAAGTGAACTCGAGCCCAGGTAATTTTCTGTTTGACGTGTTACTACAAACGGTCACTTTAAAGAAAAATGGTGAGTTGGTTTTATTTAGCAAAACCTTGACTCTTCGTAGTTCTGGTTCCCTGGGATCAGCAGACCACATCTGCCCTGGTGCGCAAAGTTCTCACTCTTTTTAATGAAGAACATTACCTGCTGATGAAGCACGATGTCCTGATTTGTGCAAATAAATTATAGTGATTACCTTTACTAATGAGGCCTAATTAAATACAGAGTTGTTCTAGTAAGTGAAAGCTCACATGCTTTCTTGAGCACATCGAGTTCCAATACTCCAGTATTTTTGTGAAGCAGACTAATTAGTCTCACATTGCATAGCTGAATGTGGTTCGTGTCTTCAAGCTGGTTCTGTAGCTTGCTTGTGTGTTAAACTGTTAAAAACAGCCTTTTCTCTTACCACGAGCAAACTAAGGGTGCAGGGAAAACATTTAAAATTAGCTTGTCTCAGTATGGCGCTGGCAATACAGCTGCTGAGTTTGGGAAGACCATATGAAAATGTATGTATTTACATCTGTATGTTCCCAAAGTCCTTGCTCTGGCAGCAGAGGATGCTACACGTTGTTCTCAAGCGTTTCACCACTGAGTTTCAGGAGCACTCTGTGTTCTCCAGCTCACGCTGTGGAGAACTTAGCAGCAAATTTCTGACTGGACTCTTGGGGGCAGGAGAGAAGCGCATGGGAACAGAAGGTCAAACACTTTAATTCATGGAGGGCTTTATGAAAGCAATGTGTCTAGACCGGTAGTCTTAAATAGCCCAATTTCTGGTACATTAATTAACGTGATTCCATTGACTGTGTTTATTGCCTTTCCAAAATCAATGCTATTGATTTCCTGTAATAATGTTTTGTCCCAGATCTTGCGTTTCAGACGATTTAATCTCGCCATCACACAGAACAACAAGACTGCCTGCTGTAATTTTTTACTCCCACATTTGCCTTTTGAATTATTAGGACTCTTTTTACTTTCTAAATCTGGACTCTCCCCCATGGTCTGTTAACATCCCTATTCTCAGATGGGTTTCAGGTGAAATACTGGCGTGACTTGTTTCCATCCTGCGTTGTCTCTTGACATTTCCATGTTACTCAACTTAAAGCATTGAAATCTGAATGCTGATCTTGCTTTTTTAAAACCGATTTTGTTACCACACCCAGTCTTGAAATTGCTTCCTCTTCTACCAAAGTTAAAGTTCTCTTTCCCAGTTTGTCCATTCCTGTCCCCGTTTGTCAATGTTTTGACAGTGACTTTGTTTTCCAGGTCACTCGCTCTGCTCTGAGGCAGCTGCTGCCCGCAGCTCGGTTGGTTTCTGTAGGCGGTTTCTGTAAGCACCAGCAGATGATGACGTGGTGCGTCCTTTCCTGAAGCATCTTTTAGTGTTCAGTGATGGATGAAGACCTTCAGAAGCCAGAGAGCAGGGCTGGTTTGGTGTTTCGTGTGAAGCCAGATGTTCCTCCATCCTCACAGCTGGAGCGAGCATCGCTCACACTTTGCAGCACCTTCTGGCCCATGGTTGCTTTATTTCCGTGGAGCTGAGCGGCTCAGGCTGGGTTACTGCAGAGCCCATGCTGCTGGAGCACCCTTAGGTGAGGCTCCAGGACTTTTGGTGGCTGCTCTGTGCACGGGGCTGCTGCTCCATAGGTTATGGTGGCTGCTGCTGGGCACCTGCTGCGTGGTGCCCCAGAGCAGTGGGTGGGAGGGAGCCGCTCGCTATCGCACTGATAATACAGTGGTTTGTATCAATACCATTGGTTAAAAGTTTGTTCATGATTTTAGGAACCGCTTTAGCTAAAAAAACAGCCAGTGCTTTGGGGTATGGCACAGCTGTAACACCACAGAAGCTGGGTTTGCAAAAGAGAGAGCATCTTTTCCCTGTGCCAATTGATTTACCCAGACAAGCTTTCGATCTCTGTGTCTTTGCCGAGATGCTTTGGATGGGCTGCTCCTAATGTACACACCACACCTTAGCTAAAAGTGAAGGGATGGAGTAACTGGGGCGTGCTGTTTGCTGCTGCTCCACTGGGTGGGCCTGCAGCATCCGGCTGATGTGTGTGGGGTGAGGCAGGATGGGGGCTTCCAGCTCAGCATCAGGAAGGCTTTGCCCTCCTCTTTCTCCTCTCCTCGTTTCCCACAGCATCAGCGGGAATTGTGTTCCCCATGGTCACGCTGGGTTTCCGTCTCTTGATGGGGAAGGAGCTCGTGGATGCTCTGTGTGCTGGGCAGCCCTCCTGGCCTTCGCTACCTCTCGTCCTTTGTATAAAGCTGTAATATTTCTGACCAGCTTTTCTTTCACATTGCCAGGAAGTCTCTTTTTATTCTGTACGCAGTCCAAAAGCACACAGAATTATTGCTCTCTGGGTAATTCACTGTTTCTAGTGTTCCTTTTGTCTGTGTGAGGTGACACATCCTTCCTTTGCTATAGTTTTTTTTTTTTTAGTTAAACAGCATCCCTCTCAGAACTAAAACAGTTTATGCACACGATCTAAGGGATTAGAAGAATTTTGAAAATAATCTTAGGTTTAGGAGTTGCAAGCCCTAATACCTCAAGATGTGAGGACCTCAGGTTATTTATTGTGCTTATCCTTAGGTGCCCTGTGGGAATGGGGAGGTTCTGTTGTCCTGCAGATGAGGAATGGAGCATGGAGATGTGATTTGTGTCAGTCCTGCTGCATTTGATCATCTTTAATCCAGCAAAACATAACAGGGTGGTTCTCCACGGGCAAAGTCTCGGTCCAGCTCTGGATGCAGTTTGGAAGCAGGAGGACGTTTTGCAGTTGGGAAGCCTGTGGGCTGTGTTATCCAGCTCTGCGCTCCCAGCCCATGCCGAGCAGCAGCCCCTGCTCTGGGAAGCGCTGCAGGCTTTGTGCTCTTCAGGACTTCTTTATTCTCTGATTATTTCTTTACTTTATGGCAGGAAGCACTGGCATTAGCGAAGCAGGGATTCTCTGGTCCTCATCTGGAGTGGTGACGTGGAACATTGCCTAAAATTAGACACCGGTCCTGAAATAGGCCTCTCGCAAATTGGGCTGTAATTGTGTCTTCAGGAAGAAGGGCGTTGCTCTGTTTCTTTGCAAACTGCACTCCACCACACCGTTCTTGGAATTACGATGCTCTTACCATGTACGTTGCTATGCATTTTTTCCCAAGTTTTTGCTATTCTGCTGTTAGAATAGGACGATGTGATCTTCTTGGATAGCTGCTCACCTGCTGATCTACTGGCCCATCTGCTTTCCAGTCGCAGAATTTGCATCAGCTTTCATGCAAGAGCTGCAGCCAAAGGTGAGAAGCGTTCAGTGCTTCCCCCCAAGCTGACACGATTCCTGCAAGCTGCTCTCGCTGCTGCTTGTGGCCGCTGCAGCAACGTGAAG